GAGGGGTGTGCCGAAATGGGTGATGACGATGACGATGACGACGATGACAATGACGATGATGATGATGATGATGATGATGATGATGATGATGATGATGATGATGATGATGATGATGATGATGATGGGAGGAGGGAGGAGGGGGAAGAGGAGGAAGGAGGAAGGAGACGCGGGGCACCGTCTCTTCAAAACGAGGACCCAACACCACAGGATGGTTGGGAACAATAAGAAGCATCAGAATCATAAGACCGCCGATTGTTTCTGATTGTTTCCCAGTGGATTTAAGCCCTTGTCAAAGGTACTTATTGATCTCTAAGATTTTCATTTGATCATCATTGGTTCGTATTGATTCCGACTTGCTCCTGGAGCTCTGTATGGAGTTTGAGTGATTCCTATTGACTCCACGTATTTCCTGTTGATTCCGAATATATTGGTCGGGTCCTAATAATTTCTATTGGTTATCATTGTTTCTCATTGGCTCCTATTGTTTCTCATTGATTTGTAATGAACCCTTTACATGCCATTTTATTCCGAGTGATGCGTATTGCTTATTCTTGGTTCCTTTTCATTTGTCTGGCTTCCCAGCGAGCCTGATTCATTCCAATTGTTTTCATTTGATGCCAAAGCATTCCGAATATTCCCGATTGATCCTTCTTGTTTTTTTATTGATTCCGAGTGATTCCTATTGGTTCTGGTTCATTTCTTTTGAATCAGATCGATGTCCATCGATCTCTTTTGATTTCTATTGATTCCTATGAAGTCTTATCGGTTCCCATTGATTCCTGTTGCTTCGAACTGATTTCGATTGGCCTCTATCGATTATTCCTCACGCTTTGCGTGTCCCCACCAGCACATTCAGAAGCCCTGCCCAGGAGAGTTGACGGGAAAAGGGACGAAGAAACATATCTAGGGAAACAAAGCGAGCAACCAGGGTGAACCGATATATCTCTGGGAGCAAGGGGGGGCCTTGGAAGGCCTCTTCGGGCCATCCCTCGGGGCCGCGTGAAAGCGAGGGGAAGAGGAGGAGGAAGAGCAGGAGGAGGAGGAGGAGGAGGACGAGGAGGACGAGGAGGACGAGAAGGACGCGGATGAGGACGAGGACGAGAAGGACGAGGATTCGGATGAGGACGACGCGGACGAGGACTATTGGAACCATCTAGAGGTATGTTTGCGGTTGTTGTTGCTGCTGGTGCTCTCTGGGGGTTGTGGGGGCCCTCCTGGAACCCACTTGGGATCATCTTGGAGGCCATCGATTACAGGACGGGGGGGTCCCCAACTCAGCTCCCCTTTCATGAGCCCGCAAACCGCTTCTTGGGGCTCTCTTGGAGCGCTCTGAAAGCGGTCTTGCTGGCCCGTATCGATTATGAATGATTCCGGATGGTTCCTGTTGATTTCCATTGTCTCCTAATGATTCCGATCGGTTCGTATTGATTACTATTGTTTCCGAGTGGCCCCTCTTGATTGATTCCAAACGACCCCGATTAATTCCGACTGATCTTGTTGTCCATATTTCTTCGATCTTTACTGACTCCAGCTGATTCCGGTTGGTTTCGATGCGTTTCGATTGGTTTTTGTTGATTTGTATTGTTTCTCAGTGGTTCCGCCCGATTGATTCCTATGGGATCCGATTGACTGTTCGCGATCCCTATTGAGCCCGATTGACTCCGACTAACTCCCATTGGTTATTGTTGGTATTCTCGAAAAACAAACGAATTATGAATTGTGATACAGAGGAACCGCGCGTATCTATGCGAGGTCCAGCGATATGATCAACGTCGTCCCTGGCTTCTTCCGCGTGGCTGCGGGCGCGACGTACTCGCCCATGGCCTTACACCAAGGGGACGCTGATGCGGGCTTGTGCCCTGGGTGCAGGCGATCACCTGGGACGTGGCATCACGTTTGCTGGCAGTGTTGCAGCCCCCAGTGGGCGGCCCGGCCGTGCGCGGCGCCTTTCGATGCCTTGCAGAGCATGCTGGGATGGCCGACCACAGTCAAGGCGCGCAAGGAGACGGACCTACAGATCGCCCGCTGGGTGGTGGAGGTCGACAGAGCCATCCGTGAGGACCGGCACGGCACACCAGAGTTTCCTCATCGTTAACCCTGGAGGTTGAGGAAGGCGGAGGAGGAGGAGGCCAAGGAGGAGGAGGAGGAGGAGGAGGAGGCACACTGGCGCCCGGTGCTAGGCGCCCTGCCTGCTGCTCAGCCACCCCTGCGCCGGCACCAGGAGGATGGAGGAGGGTCTCGCCCTTCCTCACACAGGTGCTGGGTCATCACGACGGCCTGGCATCTTTGTCAACCTGTTCAGCGTGTGAATTTCAAAGTGGGCACTGCTGTGTTCGAATCTGCTATGGGCGTAGAGTCCCTGGGGCTGCGCGCAGACCATGAGAAGACATTTGCGATCAATGCAATCAATCGTTGGTGGCGAAACAGACACGTCATAATTCCACCCACACATGGGCATTTGCATGTCGTTGTGTCCAACGCAGCGGCGGGAGAGAGGAACGGTCAGGAATCCTTTGGACACCATTTTGCTCCCAACAGAAGTCTCCTGGTTTCCAATGGTCATCATTGGATGCCATTGGAATTCCTCCAGCTTTACACCAATAAACCTGAAGACTTCCCCGCGCGACCAGGTGACGACCGAAATTTCCCTTCTCCCAAAATGACACGCCCAGAAGGATGCCGACAGTCGCATCTCTGGCGCGTGACCAGGTGATGATTGGGGGGCGCGTGATTCAGCGATCCCCAAACTTCTTATTACAAGGACGACGAGGGCGACGACGACGACGACGACGACCAGGACGGCGCGGATGACGGCGGCGGCGGGCGATGACGACGACGACGACGACGACGACGACGACGACGACGACGACGACGACGACGACGACGACGACGACGACGACGACGACGACGACGGCGGCGGCGGCGGCGGCGGCGGCGGCGGCGGCGGCGGGCGACGGCGGCGGCAACGCGGCGACGGCGACAGCGGATCAGGTGCGACCAGGAGGGGTACAACATCACAGATGAGCCGCCGTCTCGGCATGCTGGGATGGGCCGCGAAGCTCATTGGAGGTGGAAGCAGCGCAGGAAGGGGAGGGGGGAAGAGGGAGAGGAGAGGCAGGTGGGATGGCAACTAGGAGAGGGAGGGGAGGGAAGGGGGAGAAGCGGGGGAGAGGGAGAGGCACAGCACAGAAGCCGAGAGGGAGGAGAGCACGGTGCAGCGCAGTGCAGTACGGAAGGAGAGGGAAGGAAGGAAGGGAGGGAGCGACTGAGGGGCGAAGGGGGGGAAGGGGAAGGGGAGGGGAGGGGGGGAGGAGGGAGGGGAGGAAGAGAAGAGGATAGGGAAGTGGAGGAGGGGTGCCGGAGGGGGGGGAGGGGCCAGGGAGGGGTCAGAGAGGGGGGGAGCACCTTAATGGACTTGGCGCAGCCACATGGCGCAAGCCAGGGATTGTCGTAACTTCTGGCGCTGAAGCAGTCTTGTCAGACCCAACTATTTGGGGCGAGTTGTGTCTCTTGGTTGTTGCTGCTAGCTTTCGCTGCAGCCAGCTCCTCATTACGCTAGAGCCCAGATCGGCTCTGCTTGCGCACCGCGCCCGCATGGATAGCATGTTGCTGCCCTCCGTAAGCAGTGCAGGTTCGAATGCAGGTTAGACCTCATGAAATCAGCCTGGCGGGAGGGGGGGAGGGGGCAACCCCGTGCAGCTGCGTGTGATGCAGGGCGCGGCCTTCCCTTCACTTCACGTACTCTGCGCGCGCCGCGAGGCCTTGCGGACAGGGGCTCTGTGAGCCAAGGGCGCACGGGCACGCACGAGCGCCGCGGGATCGCCGAAGGAGCCATCAGGGCCACGGGTGGAGCTCCATGTGGGGTACGGTCCATGCGAGGGGTGCGCCGAGGCGGGCGGGGGCAGGCGCCGCAGATGGAGCCCCCGTGTGTTTCACGACGCGCGGGAGGGGAGCGCCGAGCTCGGCGCGGCGCCACCATGCGGGCGCACGTCCTGGGGCCGTGGGTGGAGCGCCCCACGGGGCGCGGGACCTGTGAGAGGTGCTTCGAACTGGAAGGTGGAGTTCCCGACGCGGCACGAGACGTTCGATGGGGTGCGCCGAGCCTGGCGCGGTGTCGCCATGCGGGCGTCTTCCCTGGGGCCGCAGGTGGAGCTGCCAGGGGGGGCGCGAAGCGTGTGACGGGTGTGCCGACATGAACACGCGAAGAGCAGAGGCAGGGATGGGAGGGGGAGGGAGAGGCGGAGGGAGGGCGAAGAGTGGGAGAAGAGGACGCGCGGCGCTGCGGACTCAGTGCGAGAACACAACTCCCCAGGAGAGTTGGGAAACGTCTGTCTTGTCGTCATAACGTGCATCGCGTCCATCATCTAGCGGGGGATAACTATCCGAATGAAGATGGACTACTACTAGTTGCTATCATCGTTGTTATTGCTGTCGAGCCTGTGCAGCGTGTGCAAAAAGCTCTGCGTGTATTGAAAGTTGCATGGCAGTTGTTTTCATCTTTCCAATTTCTTGCTTGTTCGGCCGCACGCTGCCAGGGGCCTCACTCCGCTCCCCATCTCCCCATCCAATAAGTGCATCGGGGGCAGAAGTTGCTTGGTCTCCATCTTGGATCGGCTCTCCGTTGGGCACCAGTTCGTGTGTGATGTCGCGGGCGCTCCTCCACAGTCGAACTCGACTGCGCACGGATGCCGAGGCACTTGAGTGGTGCATTGCCCCTGGGGACGCGGGGGGGCGATCTGCATGTCTGTCGGGCCGTGCCGCTCCGTCGAACGTGCCATCGGGCAGTGAACCCGCAGAGCCCCCCGCTTCCTGCAGATCCGGTCCCACACCGGGCGTGACCTGTAGTCAGCAGATCCTTCTTTCCCCCTCGCGGCTGGCCTCGATCCTCGATCCTCGACCGATCTTCGAGCCTCGATCCTCGAATCTCCATCAATCCCCGACCCCCCCTCGATACTCATGGGTGCTCGTGCTCTTGCCTGCTGAGCCCTCGTGTCACCGAGGGCCATGGCCGGCTGGGGCTCCTGGATGGACGGCGAGCTGGAGAAGAAGTTCGGCGACGCGCAGAAGAAGAGGAAGGTTGTCGCCAGCGCCCTGAACTTCTCCAGGTCGAGCCGACCTCTTTGCCTTCTCTGCGTGGGGGGCGCGGAGCAGGGGGACGAGGAGGCGGAGGCGGAGGCAGAAGCGGACAAGGAGGAGATGGAGGAGGATCTTCATTCTCCCGCGATTCCTCCTCCTCCTCCTCCTCCTCCTCCTCCTCCTCCTCCTCCTCCTCCTCCTCCTCCTCCTCCTCCGCCTCCTCCTCCTCCTCTTGGAAACAAGCATGGAAAACAAGTGAGAGTTTGAGCGTGCGTAAAACGTAGGGTTTCAGGGAGTAAGTGCCTGGTGGGGGGGAAGGGTCTCTCTTGCCTCTGTCCCTTTCCCCCTCTCCGCGGCCCCTCTGGGGCTCAAGTTCCTTCTCGGGCCCTTGAAGGGGCGATCCGCGCGGGGGAGCGCGGCCTGCCCCGCGGACCAGTGTCCGCACAGGTGCCGAGAGCCATGTGGAGGTGAGGTGCAAGGAGCGTGGCTGCGCCAGCCCAGTGCCTGCAGGCGCTGGCAGGTGAAGCAGCTCAGCCGCTTGTACATGATGGCGTTGCTGCCGATGCTCATCGGGGCTGTGGCAGCCGTCGAGATTGGCCGCAGATGGCGGGCGCAGCCGGCGACGCCGGCCTTGCCCCAGGCGGCCCACGCCGCGGACAGGGCGCTGCCCGCGGAGGCCGTGACGGCCAACGGAGGGGCGTACGCGCCTCTGCTGCGGGCGCTGGAGGAGGACCAGCGGCGCCGTGGCACGGCGGCGGCCACGGAGGTGCCGCAACGCCATGGCGCCCCCCCAGCTGGGCCCACGCCCAACACCGGGAAGGGGTGAGGAGCACCCACGGGGCCAGCAGTGTTCCCGCCCTCTGGCGGCAAGGGGCGCCAGCAGCCCTCGATGGCGTCAGCCGCAGCCCAGCCCCATTTGGAAACTGCGCCGACATCCGCAGGTGGAGGAGGTGAGGAGAGTTCACGGCGGCGAGGAAGCGGGATGTGGAGCTGGTTCGCGGGCCGCCGGCGGGGCCCCCCGCCGCGGCGGAGTCCTGAGGACGCTGGCGGCCCAGAAGAGGGAGAGGAGGAGATGCGAGGCTGGTTCAGCTTCGGGGGAGTCAAGTTCGGAGTGAGCTGGCTCGGAGGTTGGATCACGGACTTGCCGCCGACGGAGATCCAGTGGTCGGATCTGATGTGGGGCGGTGGTGGCCTGGTCGGGAGCGGGCTCAACACGGTGGGCTACGCGGCATTCGGCACGGGTTGGCCCTTGTTGTGCTGGACCACGTTTGCAGGATTGATCGTGGCGCTCATCATCGGCTTGGGATACGGCCTACACTCCATCGCCTCGGCAGTCGACGCGTTGGTCTGCGCACCACTCCGTTGCCTGGGACGGGCGCTGGGATTGTGCTGTCCGACCTCGAAGCCACAAGTCACGGCCGCCGAGGAAGGAGGGGTCCCAGAGCTGAGGGGACCAGCCACCGCCATTGCCGTGGAGAACGAGTTCTACGCCCAGCTCCGCGCGAAAGGGGCCGACAAGGTGCCACATCACCTGATCATCAAGGTGGGCGACACAGCTGCGAGGCTGGAGAGGCCGCCTTTGAACACTGGGATTAAGTATAAGAGGGCAGGAGTGGCGTGGCCGTACCGCGAAGTGCTCGCTACTACGTCACGGCGACTGCGCGACCTGCTGGAGGATTCCCAGGACAGAGTGGTGCACCTGTGCAGAGACACGCCCTGCACGGACGAAGGCAACTACGCGGTGCATGCCCCGGCGTACGGGTACGTGACGGCTGAGACGGACACCAACTTGGAGGCGCTGGTGGAGGCGGCGCCGAAGCCTTGTTGGGCCGGGCGGGCAGCGGGGGCAGCGGCTGCATCGCGTGGACGAGGCTGTGCCGCTTTGGGGTTGGAGGGGTGTGCCAGGCTCTGCGGGCCCCTCAAGCGCTGCGGCCAGAGGGGCTGCCAGCGCGGCAGGCGAAGCAGGGCAGACACCCCAGCCGCCCTGCTGAAGGACCCGAACTCGGAGACGGAGTCGGAGCCGGAGCACCAGCGCTGTATGGCCCACGAGGTGCTGTACCAGGAGGGTGACACGATATTTCAGCTGTGCAAGGAGAAGTGTCGAGATCGAGCCCGAGGTGCCCCCGTCCGCCTGGTCACGGAGGATGGCGAGAAGTCGAATGTCAGAGGGGCGGAGAAGGTGGTCAACTTGTGCTGGCAGCACACGAACGCCTACGAGCGCGAGAGAGGAGTGAAGAAGCGTGCGCACCTCGGCTGCCATGCATTGGGTCGGGTTCTGAACCGCGGGGTGCTGACGTGTTTGGAGCGCGATCTGGCGAATGAGGAGACCACTCGACTCGTCGCCGTCGCCGAGGGACCGGCGCCTGTGGTGGCCGGAATGGCTTCCGAGCAGCCCGCACTGTACCGGTCGAGATCGCCTACGCCGACGGCTGGGAGGGCCATCCTACCCTTGGCGTCGGCCAGTGGGGCGTGGCTAACGGCCAATCATGCGGGGCCCTCGAGGCACGGAGATGGCGAAGAAGTACTACTGCTACGGGTGCCAGCTGGCGGCCGAGGAGGATGGTTGGACTACGTATCGCATCCCGGGGCTCGAGGCCCAGGCTACCGCCCCGTCCAACCAGGGGCCGGTGATCGACGACCGGGTGCGCGCCGAGGCTGCCGCCGCTGGAGCGCCCGCCATCATCGCGCGGACGGTGAACCAGATACCCGACGGAATGGACGAGCACGGCCAGACAGCTAGCCCGGTGGCTCAGGCGCTGGCGCGGGGCGCGACGGGGAGGGAGGACCATCCCCTGTGCATCCTGACGCGGGGGATCGAGGAGGCAGGAGGGCGAGACGAAGGACACGCTCGGAGGCACCCGCCCCCGACCTCCCCGACGTACCCAACGCCGCCACCGTGGAGAGACACGATAACTCGAGGAGAGCTGGGAGGCCTACTGAACGGGGCGGCTCGGGAGCGCTGGCGCCGCCGAGGGGAGGCGGCTTCGGCACTGGAGCTCCTGAAGGCAAGGGCCAGCGGAGAGGATCACCCGCTGGACGTGGCCGAGAGGTATCAGCACTCCGAAGGTTTCGATGATCTGGGAGAGGCGCGCGACGCGATCGTCGAGTCACTCGAAGCTTTGGAGAGGGACCGCGGCTCCGTCATGTCGGACGACGAGGTGGAGAACCTGCGGCAGCTAGCTGAGGTGCTGAGGGAGAGGCGCGGCCTGAGCCAAGCGCACGAGGAGGAGGCGGCGGGAGGAGCATGGCGGGAGGGACTGGCACGGCCAGTCCCTGGCCCTGCACGGCCGCCCACACCCCCCATGGCTCGCCCAGCGGCGGTGGAGACGCCGCCCGGCTTGGGGGGGACGCTCGAGCCGGGCCGGCCAGCCAGGGAGGAGAGGGGGTCAGCTCGAGGTTGGGGGCCCAAGCGGCGGGCAACTGACTTGGGCGGTCAAGGTGTCGACCTGCGGGGCAGCACCGCGCGGGCCGAGCTGGGCCGAGGCCCACCGACGGGTCGGCCAGGACAAGACCCCACACCGCCCCCCAGACCTGTTCGAACACCGGGCTGGCCCGACCTTTGGGGTCCCTGCGAGGAGATCACGAGTGAGTTTCGACGAGGAGGACTACGGCCCATCGGAGAAGGTTCGGAGGTCGGCGGGGGCACTCGGCGATCCTGAGGACAAGGACAGCGAGGGAATGGTTAAGGTTATGGCGGATATCGCGTACAACCTCGACCTAACGAACAAGCGGGCGGAAGACGCAGCGGCGGGGAAGATGGGCGCCCTCCAGTCGATCACGAAGGACCACGAGCTGCTTGTTCTGGCGGCGCGTGGGCGCGGGAGGTTCCGGGTGGCCATCTGCCCGGACGACTTGGGCCGGGCGCTCGTCAAGGCGCTCCTGCGCATGGCGGAGCATTCCTCGGCGCTGTTCAAGCACCACCGCTGGCCCACCCTGATCAACTACCGGATCGCCTTCGGCATCGCGTCGGGGTCATGGGAAGGCAAGTCGGTCGAGACGCTGGCCGCTCACGCGCTCAGTGTGGCCGACTGGGTGACCTGCCCAGAGGAGCTGTTCGACGACTACGTACCCACGACAGAGTACAAGATCGAGCCGCGTCCGAAGCAGCCCGTGGACATGCTGAAGTGGGCACGGCAGGCTCGCAACGGCATATGGGCTGTTTGTCTGGCGCATGGGGCCGAGCACTGGGATGAGAGGAGCGAGGCCCTGGACTACCTCATCCGACAGCACGAGGCGAAGCCGCGGAAGTACACCGCTCGTTTCATCCAGGATGCCTGGGAGGAGCTGAACGGGCGGTGGTGGGAGGAGCTTCGGTGGAAGGTGAAGGAGGTGCAGCGCTACTGCAACAAGGAGCTTATGAGGAAGGAGGACTTTATCTTCGCCGCTCGGACGCCAACGCCAGAAGGACCACCGCTGCTGACGCTGCCCACGATGTTCGAGGTGGAGGACCCCGACGGATACTTCAAGACGGTTATCTTCGAGCGCCTGGTCAAGACCGCGGACAACGCCTACTGGGAGAACGCTCACCGTGCCCAGCTGCGCCCTCTTGCAGCAGGAGGAGTGGGGGAGGTCGAGGAGCGTCGCCCAGCAGGAGGTCTGCCCCAGCTCCCGTCAGGTGGCGGGGGGGGAGAGAAGGTTGGCGGTCTGACAGGAGGCGGAGGAGGAGGAGTAGGGGGAGGTGCCCTGAAGGCGGGAGCGAGCAAGGTCAAACTCCCGCCTGAAGTCCTCTCAGCTCTGACTGGGCCCGAGGTTGCGGAATCGGTCAAACACGGGCCGAACGACTCCAAGGGAAAGCCCAAATGTTGGGATGCAGCTTGCCACGATGGGTGCTCGAAGACGGCCACCACTTGTCAGAGGTCCCACGCGGAAGGTATCAAGAGCGCCGACAGGGCGCACTGGACGGTTAAGGCGCACTACATCAAGCGGGGAGGTCTTAAGACGGGACCGAAGATAAAGATCGAGGATCGGCTCGTCAAGATTAAGCAGCTGCGAGCGGACGCCCAGAAGGAGCAAGCCGCGAAGGTGCAGG